ATTTAAGTATTTAGAGAGTGAGGGGAGACTCGATTTCATCTTTCAAAGTGCTTCATAAGAGTGGGCGGATGCTAAAGATTATGCAGTTCTCTGATTGGGGGAGAATTCTTAACAGAATTATGGGTAATGTAGTTTCCCTCCAGTATTCCCGCACTGTTAAAAGTGATTATTTAAAAAATAAGATTAAATAACAGGGACTGATGGCTTCACCAAAAGCATTTACCATTGATCAATGACCTTGTAGTTCACACTCCTGTCCTCAAAGGTTTATAAGTAATAGTTATCAATTCCCCTGTGGAGAAAATGAATGGGATTTTTACATCCGGAGCCTTACTGTTGCACTCTATAAGGCTTTGACAACCAACTAGCACACAATTGTGCCACATTTCCATATAAAAATTAGAAATCTTTATTTATCAGAACACAACTAGGGTGAATTAATTTGTTTTTAGGCGAGTTTCATGCAATGCCATAGAGTTGTGCCATAAACAGCACCTGCGTAACTTGGTGTTACAGTAAGTGCTTTCCGGTAACTAGCACTAAACCTGAACCACTACACCACACCACTCTGTACAGCACTGACTGAAATGTTTAAAAGCATCCTGAGTGATTCTCAGCACAAGATACCTGAAATACAGACCAAAGTTTCTTCCCTCATCCTGCCACAAGTGCAGAATAGCACCTGCCTTAAATACTCGTTCCACCATCATCAAAAGCGCATCTGCCTCATTCCCCATCCCCTGTTGCCTAGCAGCCAAGTCAGAGTGTTGATGTTCTCGCATGCACTTCCTGTAAACACTTAAGACACGAGCCTCTCTGTGCAAAACAGCCCACTTCAGCGTCAGAAAATGGAAGTGTCTCATAGTCGAGACTTCCAAAAATATCCCTCTCTGAAAAACTGTAAAAAGGAAAGACGTAGGCAGAGAGTAAAGTAAGATTTTTTTTTTTCTCTCTCCCGACCTTCTCATTTATGGAGTACCACGCAGTGAAGTCATCTTTCATTCAGCAGCAGAAGAGGAAAATTTGCTCCATATATCTGTCCCGACTTCTCATTCCATTACAGTCAGACTAGACTCCCGAACGCATCTCAGAAAAGCACTTTGTGGCCAGGCCTTCAGTTATATAATATAAATGGGGGTAAATGTATTTGACCCTTTCAGCACCGCATCTGTTAGACCTTCTCTAAACTAAATGTAGCTAATTTAATGTGTATTTAGAGGGTTGGTGTTTGTGATGCCTTGGATATTAGCGCTGGGCATCACAAAAGCACTTATCATTGCTGCAGCAGCAGTTGGCACTTCAGATTGACAGCGGTTAAAAGCTTTGCGCTGGTTGTATAGGTGTATTAAAGTGTGTGGGCTTTCTCTAATAGCAGCTATTCTGTGTTTTTCAGCTCTGCGGCAGGCATCATGACCACAGCTAGGTACCGACCCACCTGGGATTTGGCCCTGGACCCGCTGGTGTCCTGTAAGCTGTGTCTGGGAGAGTTTCCCTTGGAGCAAATGACCACCATCACCCAGTGCCAATGCGTCTTCTGCACTCTGGTGAGTAGCATCTAAATATGGATTTCAGGGGTCAAAAACAGGTTTCAAGAAATGACTAATTTTATTTTTTTTAATTTAATTTTAAAACAAATAAATAACAAATACAAATGAACAATATTAATAATTATTATAAATAATTATTTTTAATTTTATGTTATCAAAGTAAAGTAAAATAAATGATAAATAATGAAAAAATAAATAAATAAATAAATAAAGTTTTTACCTTATTTTAAAGGGGTCATATGATGCTTTTTTTAAAGATCATTATTTTGTGTATTTGGTGTAACAGAATATGTTGACATGCTTTAATGTTCAAAAAACACATTATTTAGAAATGTATAAAATGTGTGTTAAATCTTTAAACAAAATGTTTTTAAATAATAGAGTGGATACTCCCTGGCGTAATATTTTACATTTGGGAGAGGGCGAGTACCCTGAATGGAGAGCGTTGTACAAGTCACCATTGACTAAAAAAATTGGGGATCTGCAGTGGAGAATTTTACACGGTGCAGTGGCAGTTAATGCCTTTATCGCAGTTTTAAATCCTGATGTTGGTCATGATTGCCCCTTCTGTCTGCAGAGAGAAACTGTATTTCACGCATTTATGCAATGTTCTAGACTTGAGCCTTTGTTTACTGTTTTACAGAATTTATTTTTGGGTTTTGGTGAGACTTTTTCTATTAGGATTTTTATTTGTGGGTTTAAATATGTTCAGAGAAAACAATTTAAATGTCAGCTTTTGAATTTTTTATTAGGTCAAGCTAAAATGGCTATCTATGGTACTAGGAAACACAAAATTGAACGAAACATGAGTTATAGTTTATTGGCAGTTTTTTTTAATTCAGTAAAATCTAGAATTCTCATTGATTTTCGTTATTTTAAAGCTATGGATGATCTTCTTTCTTTTGACTTGATCTGGTGTAATGGTGGAGCTTTGTGTGAGGTTTTTGAAAACACTGGTTTTTGGCCCAAATTTTGCTTAATTGTCTGTAAATTGACTCGATTGTCTGGATGATGTGTTAATATTGTTGTAATAAAGTTTTTTTCGAAATCTAATGATCTCTCTCACTCACTCACTCACTCACTCACTCACTCACTCACTCACTCACACACTCACTCACTCACTCACTCACTCACTCACTCACTCACTCACTCACTCACAATCAGCTTGTAACACTCCAAAGAGAAAGGGAAACTTGAAATCACATCATATGACCCCTTTAAGAATGAAGATTAATTCTCTGGATTATTTCATTCTTGATCGCTGTCTTTAGGTTTCACTGTTTTAGGTACAGAACAGCTAAAAATAAATCAGTGGGATTCTTACATAAGCTTCAGACATTTTGAAACATGTCTATATTTAATAAGCACAGAGTTCACAGCTATAGACAGATTCTCTACAGGCTGAGTTGTTTTTTGTTTTAGCAATGTGATTTACAGTCCAGTAATAAACATTTGAGGCTTCTTCAACCCTCAGAGGTTTTCTGTTCTGGGAGCAGTTTCCCTTTGCTGTGTTTTTACACTGATCTGAGACCAGTTTTATTTATGTCTTGAGGTTACAAGCAACATTTGGGGAAAGGGAAGCTTCTGAAGTAGGGTAAAGGGAAAACATCTCCTCATCTGACTCTAAGAGGCCTTGTCTTGGATGTGTCTGAGCTCACTGGAGACAAAACTGCCTTTGTGTCTTAAGTGAAGAATGTTTATGGAAACAACTCCCTCAGAATTTTCCTTGGCGAGCATTCCTAAAAGCTCAGATCCATTTAGTTTCTTGGTCTGTTTAGATCAAAATGTTATTTGTCTGATATTTTTTCTTTTTTTCTTTTCTTTTCTTTTCTTTTTTAGAGAGAGAGAGTGGGAGAGAGAAAAAAACATTACCTCTTTTTTTTTTTTCTCCTGAAGCATAAAATAAATAATAATAATAAAAAAATTAATGGCCTATTAAAACAGTGAGTTCACAAATTGCTAACATTGGAGGATAATTAGTCTTGGACAAGTGACTGCGTCTTCGTTAAATTGAGATGTTACACGTCGTAATTGTTTTGAGGAAGTTAACAGTTCATTACAAGTGGTTAAGTGCTTCTGTACTCGCACTCGCACAGACATATTGAGCAATTTAAACAGCTGAAAGCGTTAAAAGCTGAATTTGCTTACCCATAATATATTTTTTCTACATTTTCTTTTTATTAACTGATTTTTAATGTCTTATTATTAGTGCCTGAAGCAGTACGTGGAACTTCTCATCAAAGAGGGCTTTGAAACGGCCATCAGCTGTCCAGACTCAGCCTGTCCAAAACGTGGACATTTACAAGAAAATGAGGTAATGTCAACATACACTACTGTTCATAAGAGTAGGTTGTGATTTTGTGGGTACAATTTTTTATTTTTTTATTTTTTTAAGAAATCAATACATTTAGTCAGCAAGAAATTGCATTGGTGTGATTGGACAGTAAAAACTGTCTACATTTGTTTTATTTCTATTCAAATAAATGCTGTTCTTTTGAACTTTCTGTTCATCAAACAATAATGAAGAAAAAAAACAATTGTGGTTTCCTCAAATATTAAGTAGCACAACTGTTGTCAACATTGATAATAATAATAAATGTTTCTTGAGCACTAAATCAGCATATTAGAATGATGTCTGAAGGATCATGTGACACTGAAGACTCGCGCAAGGAATGCTGAAAATCCAGCTTTGCCATCACAGGAATAAATTACATTTTAAAATATAATAAAATAGAAAACACTTATTTTAAATTGTAATAATATTTAACAACATTACTATTTTACTCTTATTTTAGATCAAATAAATGCAGCCTTGATGAGCATAAGAGACTTTTACTACGTTTAAAACATTTAAAAATCGTTCCCAAACTTTCAAATGGTAGTGTACATATTCCTGTATTTTGTATACATTTTTTTTTTTTAAGCAGCATTCATGTCAGGGACTTTATAGTTTTAGCATCAAGGTTTTCAACGAGGGGTCCTTGAATCTGCTTTAGAGGGTCCTTGAAGATGTAAAAAACTAATTATAAGGATTAATATACATGAAAAAAATACAGAGCTAATGATATGTTAAACATTGTATAATGTAGTTATGTTAATCTGCAGTTTTGCTAATCTGCTAATGCAGCTTTATCAACAAACCCTGCAATAGTCACAGCCTCTGAAAAAAAAAACAGACAAATACATTACTTTCCAAATAAAAATCCTAAAATGAATCCGTATCTCATCAAGAGGAGATTAAAACACTTTTAGTATAAAATGGATGCTGAAACCTCTCCAGTCGGACTCTCCCCTCGGTGGCTTGCACCGCAAAATCCTTCCATGTATGAGGTCAGTCCGAGGGCAGGGTTCCTCCTCTGCGCTGCAGGCTCATTGTGAGGATGGCTGGCTCGTTCAGTATCAAAGCAGCTAAACCAGATGAGTCAGTCCCAGATGCAAAGCATCAGAGCAACTAAAGTGAATCCTTAACTAAAGTATGTTATTTCTGCACCGCTAGCATCACCAAACTCAACTGCAAAAATTCACTATGCATATTCCTGCTGTGTTGTTTGATCTCGAGACGGTGATTAGATTGAAAACCATATTTGATGTTGGGTGTGTGTTTACCCCGATCCAACTGAAATGCTAAATGCAATGTCTGCAAAACGAAGAGTGCTTTCATATCCATCAGACCACATTGCTTCATAATTGATTGTTCTCTCTCTTTCTCTCTCAGATTGAATGCATGGTGGCCGCAGAGATAATGCAGAGGTACAGGAAGCTGCAGTTTGAGAAGGGTAAGTGGAAAGAGGCTGTCTGTCCATCGGGGGGCAATTAGTATCAGACAGCAGCAGATGAGGCACGTGTGTGTGTTTGTTGATGGTGAGCTCCATGCTTACTGTCCTAGATGACTCAGGGTGACTCACAGTAGACAAATAGGCCGGCACAGGTGTACATGTGAGGATGAAAGGGTTGTGAGTGGACTTGCACTGGACACGTGTAGGTCCAGCTGACCTCATGCTGTCACAGAATGGAGGCTTTTACCTTGTGCTGTCTGCATTTCTAACAATGAGAGCCTACCACCTGCCGACACCTAGTTTAACTCTGCCTCATTGTGTTAACTGGTTTTTTTTGTATTTTCTGATTATCATTTGGGCGAGGAAAAACCCCCCAAAAAAACAGAAAACGCCACATTTAAACCCGCTTTGTCCACGTGAGCACCAAAGTTTAAAAACTCATGCTGACTGCCATACCACAGTCCTGACATTCAGTTTTGAATCTTAAAACATATTCTAGCCATACTTTTTTTCAGTGTAAAAGTAAGCTATTTCCTGTGCATGTACGAGACGTCTGATTCATTAGCCACTATAGGTAAATAACTAGGAGAATAGCAAAGTGCAGAAAACAGTAAATATAGCTACAAACCAGTGTGATTATTATTACAATAATACATTTAAATAATGTAAGTAACAAATACCAGCTTGCAATATCAAGCAGCATAACTGACATTCAAGCTAAAAATGGCCACACCTGCTCTTCTGTTAAAAATAAGGTGGACATTGTGTTTCAAAAGAGTGTTTAATAGTGGAGTGTTTAATGATTGTTTTCAAACAGGTTTCTAAAACACTCCCCCAGACAGCAAATAGCTCCGCCCCAAACTCATACCATTGGTTGAGCCAGCCATATCAAGCTGATCAGGATGACGTCAGGATAAATTGCAATATTTTGATTGAACCACAGTGTTTACACTTCAGTGAATCTATTATATAAATTTGCCTATATAAATACATATTTATATTTGCGTTCATATATAATGATGGCAAAAAAGTATTTAAACATTAATAAAATAATCTTCATCTTTAAGACAAGCAGAATGGATTTGCATAGCAGTATTTCCACAGGCAATGTTGTTATGCTTTTATACAACAGTTCTTTCTGGTCCTCGAATCTGATTGGCTGAGAGCCTTTTCCAGGAGTGCGATATTTTAGTGATAACACAACTCCAACCATTTCACCGTTTGTATCGCTCCGCTTTCAGTATTTCTCACAGCGAGTGTCATGGGGGATGCCCGAATCCACTATAATTTTATAAATAATACTGTTTTTGTGTCACGGAATGTGGTTTTAAGAGTTTTTAAGCGAGTTTTTTGAGATGTGAGCTCCAAGGCGTCAGCGGCCATTCAGCGCCCATGAACCCGCTGAGAGCAGCCTTACCTCGGCCAGTTCTTTTGGAATTTAGTAACCCAAGGTAAACTATGAACAGTGTTAAAATCCAGGATCACAATTACACAAATTATCCTTGGCTAACAATTTAGAAGTGCAAGAGGCCCAACTTCATACCTTTGGCAGTGCAATTTCCTGGCTTCATAATCCAGGGTTTAAAGCTTTACAACCCCTCTGTCGAAATTACAAGAGTGAATCTCAGGGTGGACTTAAAGTGGGCTTAACCTGGGATTTAAAAAGACTTAAGTGAAGTTAAAATGAAGAGTCTTTGTGTTCCCTCTCTGTATCTGAATCAGTCTGTGTACTGACCTCAAATGCCTTAAATTTTTAGCAAATGTAGCTTCAAGTCAGAAATCTCCAAGATTAAAAAACTTTTAAAGAGTAAATTAGACCCGTGTTAATTGGATACGCTTGATCAAAAGCATACATGTTCCCTTAAACAGAAAAGACCAGAGGCTCTGTGCCATATGCTCGGCATATGAATCTTCTTTCATTATTTCCATCAGTAGGGGATCCCAGACTCTGAGAGTCTGCAGTAGTTTGAACCACAGGATACATTTGCTTGAGACATACTCTCTGTCCACCCCGCTCCAGGTCATTGCATTGCTTTGAAAAGGGAGAAAAACTACATGTAGTTACGTGGTCCAGTGCTGTGATCCTCTCTTTCTGTCTCTCTTAGGTTTGAAATCAAGGTTTTCATGCTTTCGTATGAGAATCATGGCAGCAACATCATCATAAATGAGAGACTTGCAGAGAGAGAGAGAGAGAGTTAAAATGCGTTCATTTAGCTAATCAGTGTTCCTGGAAACTGGAGCGGAATGGTGGCTATAACATATCCACACTCCCAGAAGCCAAGAGTTCATGTGGAGTCATGCGTGGACTGCCGTGTTAGATGGAGAGGACAAGTGTGAGTGTGTTCGGTTTGTGAGATTCTCACAGTGCACTCGGGGACAGACGAAAATGCATGCCATCCTGACTCAACAAGATGGCTAAAAATGGCATTCAGCAGATATTATGAAAGGCCTCTTTCTAACATAATTGCCCTCAACCGCACATTACATACATAACCGAGCTTAGCCATATGTCACTATGTAATATGTCACGAACTAGTAAAACCATTATGAAACGTATAATTATGTCTCTAATTTCTTATTGAATTGGCAACATTCGAAGCTATATATAGAGACCAGAATATCATAGGGACACATGACTCTTTTGATGCAAACCAGTAAGCAACCCAGGCCCCTTGGCAACCACCAAGAACAACCTAGAAGCAATGGCTGCGTCTCAATCGTCTGCCTAGCTCCCGAGCTCGTGAATCAGTATATCGTGTACATGAATCTGGGCAATGCTAAGGACCTTGGCTTACTACGCATTGGGACAGTGACGTACATTGTTGTAGAATGTCACTGACTGCAAAAACAGGCAGGACCTATTTCTTTTTGATATTATTTTTTAATTCTCTTTAAACACATTGTTCTGTTACATGTCCTTTCAACATTTCAGCCAAATATTAATTATAAATGTTAACTAGATGTGTTCACTATCTGTCTAGCGATGTTGTCTTTTCAAATCTTCTTTCACATGTCATTATATTTATCTAGTTGGCTTGTGTGGTTTATGTTTCGTGCTTCAGAAATGTGACGTAATTTCCAGTAAGGGAGCATAGTGAGCATCGATGCTCCCTACTGTAGTTTTTGCGGTGCATTGTGGGATTTTTCAGGGAACGAAAGTTCCAGTGTACTGGTAGGATTTTGCGATTGATATAGCCCTTAAAATGGTTGACTCCCGGATCAGTGCCCTGACTACTGAATTAGGGAGCAATCTAACCTCCTAGCAAAACCTTAGTAACCACCAAGAACAAGGCCCTAGAAACCATCAAGAGCATCATAGAAACCACCTTTCAAGGCCCTAGAATCTACCTTGAATATTCTAGTAACCACATAGCAATGTCTTGGCAACCATTCAGAACATCTTAGAAACCACCCAGAAGCATGCAAGTGATTGCCTAGCAGCGTCCTAGCAGCCACTCATAGCACCATAGAAATCACCTAGAAATGCCTGAGTGACCAACTAGAAACAACCTTGTAAGGCACTTGCAACCACAAAGAGCACCCTAGAAACAAATCTGCAGTACCCTAGCATCAACCAGGAACACCTAGCAAACACCAATAACAAAGGCCCTTTTAAACCATCTAACAATGACCTAGTAACCACTTGGCGACGTCCTAACAACTACCAGGACACCCTAGAAACTGTCTAGCAAAATCATAGGAAACGGAGAACCAAGGCCATGATTAACAACCTAGCAACCCCTAGCACCCTAGAAACCAGCTAGAAATGCCTCAGAAACAACTCAGAACAGCCTTAAACTACCTAGAAATGTTCTAGCAACACCCAGACATCCGGATCTTTTGCACAGTCAAGCACCAATCACATTTCATCAGAGAATATAAATCTAGCTACTATTAAATGTAATTATTTATTGAACAATAGTGTCTCCGCCTCCTGTTGTGCCCAGCCATAAACTGTGGTAAAATCAGTGTAACGCACAGACCTCATGCAGCTTTTTGCCTTAATGAAATCTAATGTAACTAATGAATTTATGCACAGCTATGATTGGTAGCAGCTCTGGTATCTTGTTCCTGAGGGCTTATGAGGCCATAGCTGTTCTTTTCTTTCACCCTTCCATCTCTGACAGCGTAACCATGGTGACCTGTCAGCCCGCATCAGCAGTAAGCAGCCTAAAATACACTCGCGGAAACCGCGTCTGATCTCTCATCTTTCACCCCCTGCAGAGGTGTTGCTGGACCCGAGCCGGACCTGGTGCCCGTCCTCCACGTGCCAGGCCGTGTGCAAGCTGAAGGAGTCTGACACGGCGCTTCCGCAGTTGGTGCGGTGCAACGTTTGCACACTTGAGTTCTGTTCCGCCTGCAAGGCCAGCTGGCACCCGGACCAAGACTGCCAACAGAACGTTCCCATCACCGCGTTTCTACCCGGAGAGAGCAGGTACTGTTGCCTGTTAAAGACATTTTCTAGATTCGGTACAGGTTGAGTTTAATCAACAGCACTTTTTGCATAATGTTAATAATGTTTTTTTTTAAAGCCAAATATCTCAGGTTGCAATTGAAGTGAATGAGGCCAATCTGTAAACTTTAAAATGCTTTGTTTCAACTGTGTAGCCACAACAATAAGTTAATATGACTTTAGTGTCAAAAGAACCTGAACGTTTTTGTGTAATATCCAATAAAACATTAATACTTTGTTGCCATGACAATGTAATGCCTATAACTGTAAAGCGACTGTAAAAATTATACGAACAACCTTAGAGTTTGAATAATTCACAAAATAATTAATGTAGGGGTTTTTATAAAATTATACAATACCATTCAAAAATTGATTTTTTTATTATTAATATTTTTATTCAACAATGACACATCAACTTGATCAAACATGACAGTAAAATACATTTATATTGTTACAAAATATGATGTTTAAAATGCTGTTCTTTTGAACTATCTATTCAAAAAATAATCCTGAAAAATCACCGTTTCATTGTTTCCACAAAAATATTAAACCGCACAACTGTTTTCAACATTTATAATAATAAGAAACGTTTCTTGAGCACCAAATCAGCATATTAGAATGATTTCTGAAGGATCATGATACTGAAGACTGGAGGCTACTTAATTCAGCTTTGTCATCACAGGAATAAATTACATTTTAAAATATATTAAAATAGAAAATATTTATTTAAAATTGTAATATTGTATAATACTACTGTTACTGTATTTTGATCAAATAAATGCAACCTTGGTGAGCATAAGAGACTTCTTTCAAATAAAATAAATAAATAAATACAAATTTAAAATATTACCAAACCTAAACTTTTCACATTTTTGCTTTAAGAAAATCACTTCAGTTGTAATGATTTACTTGTATTATAAATAAGACAAAGGATGAGTCAATATTAATTATCTTTTGGGGTACATTTTGCCACAGATGTTGTTGATTGAGCTTATCTTGTACTGAACATAGAATATTCCTTTAAGTCTTATCGTCCTCATTCATCAGCAGTTGCGTCTCGGTGTAGTTTTGTCTCTTTGATGTACATTTAAACGCTCCCATCCTCCCCACTGGTCCTTATGTGAATCCAGCTGTCACTATGAGGCATGTTCTGTGTAATGATGTTCGATGTTGATAAGTCGACATGAGTTTTGAAATGAAATACCGTAATCCATCTGTGTTTTTCTGCACTATTGAACATACTCATCATTCACTCTAAGAATGGATCTTCTGCTTCTAGTTGTTGAAGAGCGCTTTTCTCTTGGCTCAGTAAGCCAGAGATTCATGCACAGGTCTTATTTGACATTCCTGTCACACGCACACTTCATTCAAAACCAAAAGCATCATTGAGCAGAGTTTCTGATATTTGATCTTGGGTCATACAGGAATGAACACTCAGCCTGCTCTGAAGTGAATTGCTTCATTAATGCACACTAGTCATAATACTGCAAAGAGCCTTTCAAGTTTACAGCTCAATTTCTGTATCATTTCATGTTTGAGATTGCACCTAAGCTCCTAAAGTATATCTCAGAGTGAAATAAACAGTCTTTAGACAGCATGAAATCAAATTGGACTCAATTTACACTTTAAACGGGCTGTTGGTTCCTTAAGGAACTATGAGCTGACCAGACTCTTTAAAAAAAAAAGTTAATATATTTAAATATATTAAATTCATTAAGTCATTTTTAGGTTACTTGACATTTTAAACAGTGTACTTGATAATGAATATATGCTAATACATAAATACTATTCCAAAGAAAAACAAATGTTTGTATAATCTTTAATTTAAATGTTTTCTTTGCTACTGATGTAACCAAGCATGGCTCAACTAATAAAGATTTTTTTTCTGACCCAGACTAGTCAGTGAAATTTTTACTTGCTCTACCAACATTTTCAGAAATGTTTAGCTTTCTTTCCTATTAATTAATTAATTCATTCATGCATTCATTCATTCATTCAAACTAAAAAAAATAAATAAACAATTCTACACAAAAAGAAAAATTCCAACAAGCTGGAAATTATACAGCACTTTTGCTGGAAAATGATGGCATGCAATGCAAAACATCACTGACAAACATCACTCAAATAATACATTCTTCATGATAGTTTTTCAAGACTGATGGGTTATTTTTGTGTTAGCCAGCTGGATAACATTATCTTGATGACAAATCAACAGAATTTGCAACAACATTGTAGAATAGATCACAGTTTGTATGGCTTAAAAATGGATGTACAAGATCAGTGAACGTAAAACTTTAATTGGCAACTGGCCTAAAACTCTCTCACATTGGCCACAGGCCAGCAGCCATCCTTACTGTTGAGCCCTGCTATGGCTGTGTGGGCAGAGAAAAAAATATCAATAATGTCTTACCTTATTAGAATTAATAAGCCCACTTAACCCTACATGATTTCCTGCTGAATATCCCCCCCAAAAAGTTTAAATTTAAATGCATTTCACGTGCCATATAATGTTGTCCTTAATGTATATCCATTCATATATAACCATTACTCCAGTCTTCAGTGTCACATGATCTTTCAGAAATCATTCTAGTATTCTAAATTGGTGTTCAAAAAACACTTCATATTATCAAAGCTGAAAAGAATTTAATAGTGCTTAATATTTTATCATGTTGCTTAATGGTTTTGTGGATTGAGGTTTCTATGATGAATAGAAAGTTCAAAGGAACAGCATTTATTTGAAATAAAAAATGTTTTTATAACAGTGGAAAAGTCTTTAATGATACCTTTGATCAATTTAATGTGTCCTTGTATCAGTGTCTTTCAAAAAATAAAATAAAATAAAAATAAAATCATACTGACCCCAAACTTTTGAACAGTAGTGTATATATAATCGAATCAGAAATAATCATATTACTAGTATTATTATGATTATTAATACTACTGTACTTTACCAGGTTGCGGTACTGTGAGTCAGACTCTGAGGAGGAGCTGCTGCTGCTGTTTAACGGGCTGTGAGAGGCTTGCTGCACAGTGTCACTTCCCTCAGAATCAATAGAGTGGGAATTGTCCTGGAAATGAATGGGCTTGTACCTGTCAGCTCGGTCCCTGTGGTTCAGCCTCTCCGTTTCCAGTGAACACTGTCCCTGGCTCACAACTCTTTAGTACATATACAAGAGAAGGACCTGTCTGGGTGGAAAAAAAAAAGACTGCACTGTAGTATCATTACCAGTGTTTTTTGTTCTTTGTACCCCACAACCCGGAACAAGAAAAGGGTTCAATTGAACTCTTACTATAATCTTTTTTTTCCCAGTTTGTTCTTTAAGGCTGACGATGACGACGCCCCCATCAAACGCTGTCCCAAATGTAAAGTCTATATAGAAAGAGACGAGGGCTGTGCCCAGATGATGTGTAAGAACTGCAAGCATGCTTTCTGCTGGTACTGCCTGGAGTCTCTGGACGTAAGTGCTCAATATCTCAGCTTAACACTAGTAAAAACATCATGCTGTTATCTTACTGTATTTTTACTGGTCAAGTGGCCGCTGCTTAGGCAGCATGTTAGTCCTTCAATCAAGGCCGTAAATTCACATAGCGTCCTTCACACAGCTGTTCCGAACACCCACGTAGATAATGACTGACCTCTGGTAATGTTGTGTGTTTGACAGGACGACTTCCTCCTGATCCATTATGACAAAGGACCCTGCCGGAACAAATTAGGCCACTCCAGAGCCTCCGTGATCTGGCACAGGACGCAGGTGGGCGCTCACGGGAAGGAGCACACGTTTTCTTCCCCCTTTTTTCTCCTTTGAGATCAGAATGAGTGCACGTGCACCTACACGTGACCGAGTCGTAGGCATCCATTCAGACAGTGTTTATTCAGGAAGTAAGTGGATGTCTGTTCTCGAGCAAGTGATACTTGCTGTTTCACAGCAGATTGTAATGCAAGACGGTCACTTTGGGACAAATTCACTAAAATTATTCATCAAATGATGGAGAAGAGCAGTATAACCAGACATATATTTAGAAGAGCAATTCAGACTTGGGTACTCCCTCCTCACTTTGTGTTTCATTTGTTAGACTAAATAATAATAGGAGAATATCACATTGAAAAAGGCTGATTTTATAAAAGAATACTAAGAAAACGCCAACTTCATCTTTGAGTGAAAGACATATACAAACAGTTTTCAACATAAGGCTCATTAGACCCACTGTCCATTATGTATTTCTTAATAGCTTTGAAATAATACATTTTCTTATGGTTCAGAGATCAGCACAAATAGTGTTGGAAAAAGCCTCTAAGCGATTTCATTAGGAACTCCGGGAAACCTAGTACGCAGGAAATGCTGTTTGAAACAGTCCTCCAAAACTTTGCTCCTAATTTTCTTTCTTGAAACGAAATTAATATGCTATATAATATTTTCTGTGTGAAGATATATATGCATCATGGTGCCATTTGTTATGATATAACTTAAAATGAAAGTATCAGGATTATTTTATTGCCATTATTATTCTTTTTTGGGTTTATAATAATGACAGTTTTAAGGGGAAATTAGCTTAATTATTATGAAAATATCAATGTAAAAAAATTAAAAAAAATAACCTTAATTGTCAATTTTCTTTATGCAAAATGTTTGTTTTATTTTAATTTTGAGGTGTAATTCTGATGCCCTTATTCACCTTTTGAACTGTCAGAAAGTTCAGAAAGATTCTTCACACACATCATTTCATATGCTGAACATAATATCATAAAGGTGAGATGGCCTTGAAACTGTGAGGCGCTTTCAGTACTTTTGCACAAAGACATCTGTTGCTCTGCAGGGAGGAGTGAGTCATATTAAGCTTCATAAGAGCGCAGCGGTTCTGTTCCAGCCCTACAAGTTTACATTTTATAAAGCTTCAGCCCAGTAGCATCAGAAATTTGATTCTTTATGAACTGGTAAAGATGGAGCTGGTGGGCTCAGCCGGTCCCGGGTTTGCCAACACTCTTCCATTATGCCGCTCTGCCATTCCACATGAGAGCTCTGAGAAAGAGAGAAATACATTGAGGGCAATTTACATAGAAACAGAAATAGTGTGCAACACTGAAATTTGTCCCATGATAAATGGGTGTGATTGTCTTCCTCGGAATGCTGAGAAGATTCCGCTTGGAAATAGAGGTCAGTTGTATCCTATTCCCTGTTTTACATCCAGAGAAAATCAATTTCACATGGTGCTCTGCCCTACAGTCATGTGAATTATGTGTAATTTTGTTGGCCCATGATGATGACAGCTTCTAAATATATAGTTCATGCATTAAATGAACTCGATCGCTTCCATTTTGTAACGGTTATAAATTGTAAGGATCTGACGCCCCTATGTGGTGGAGAATGATGCTACATCAAAAATGTGTTTATATGGGTATTTTTGCCCTTTTTTGTTTTATTTTTGTATCTTTTCTCACTTTTTTTGGTAGCATAGTAGAAACAAAAAATAGGCACACTTTTCCAGCTTGCAAAAAATATCTAAATGTATTCAGCAACGTGGAATAAGTTTTGACACAAAATGTTGCTGATTAAATGTTTATATTTTTTGCAAGTGGGATTTTTGGTGTTAACCTATGCTATGAACCTATCAGTTGTTCTACAGTTGTGCAGGGTTAATTGTTTATTGATTGACAGCAGAGTAGAAAGAGTGCAGAAAATGATGGAGAGAAGAAGGGATAGCAAAATTAGGAAACAAATGTTCATATATTGTCTTGCTTTCCCCGGAGAAAAAAAAAAAAAATCTTGTGAAACATTTTCACATTGTTTCGAAACAATGACAGTTCATATGATCATATCAATGGCCAAGTGTCAATCAAAGAAAAACACAAACAAACACCTTAATTTAGCCAACGATATTTTAAAATACAATTCAAGATCTGAATTAAAAATTATATTTTAAAAATATATCAGGATGTCCTGATATGATAATGAAGAAAAAAAACACATATTAAAAGAATATAAAATCTTGACTTTTTATTAAGTTTATTGTTATTTTTTAAGAAGAAAAAAAACTGCTTCAAATTATCTTAAAATATCAGATAATTTGACCTTTTTAAGGCAAGACTAGTTGATTTTGTTAAAATGTCATGTGGTGCAATTTCCTAAAAACTTCTTATAATACTTAATATAATATAAATGAAAATATTTAATTTACAAGTCATGATGTTTGTTTAAAAAAGTATTTATAAAATGTATTATATTTAAAATGTTTTTCAAATATTAAGATTGTATTTAATGTGTAAGGAAACTATATTATTCATTTTTACTTGATCGTTAAACCACATGGCAATAAATTAACTTATTTATGGTATAAAGGTTTTTCGAAGCCAATATGAATACAAGTACAAGAGAACTTGGTACATGTGTTGTAAACTAGATTGTATTTATTTTATTTTTTTGGAAACCCCTATATGTGATTGACGCTCATATGTTGTTTTCTTCTCTTTCTCCACAGGTTGTTGGTATCTTCGCCGGCTTCGGCCTCCTCTTACTGGTAGCTTCTCCGTTCCTGCTGCTAGCCACACCATTCGTGCTGTGCTGTAAGTGCAAGTGCAGTAAAGGCGACGATGACCCTTTACCCACCTAACAGCCCGGCGTGAGCAGTCCCTGTACCAGGAATTCCGGTCATCTCCTTTAATCGCTTTTCTTTTCCTCCTCCGCCTTCGAGCTCTTCATCAACCGGTGGGACTTGCGCATTTGAAGCCATCTCACGCCACGGTTACTGTCACAGCTGTCAGTAGGCTCCATCCCGGCAGGCCTGATAAGTCTAAAGGACACTTCATGAGCCTGCTGCTTGCTTAGGTGGAGGAGAGCTGGGGGTTCCCTCCGCAGTAACAAAAGGGATGTTACTGAAGGAGCACAGCGCAGTTCCATCCGGGCGCTTGTCTGATTTGTGGATGTTTCGCATATGTGGCTGTTCAGGAGGGTTCTGTTCTAATAGAACATACTGTATATTCAGTGTGTTTATGTCTGTTTCTGTGTGCATAGTAGCATTTCAGTCACTCGGCCTATTCTTTATTACTTGTTTTGCACAGATAAGGGGCTTTTTGTCACTTTAAATGCTCTAAAGTCAGTAGATTTCAGTTTTGGCTCAAATGTACAGCTATAGTGCTACTTCAAATGTTTATTAACTGCTAAATTTTGCATTCAAAAGTTTTTAATAGCATGTTTGTTTGCTTTTTCATGTCAAGTTATTGTCTTTCGGTCTGAAACTATTGACAACCCAAGTTTGATTTGGCTGATTTTGGCCAATTTGGCGAATTTTTAGCCTTCAGATTGAGTCACTGACCTCCCTGGATTTAAATCATATATATGATTCCAAAGCAGGGCTGTTCTATGAGTTTACAATGCCAAATATTGACCTACTGTCTTTAATTTTTTTTTCGCCCCATAATAATAATAATAATTATTATTATTATTATTATTATTATTCAATTTTGTTTGTAGCTAAAGTTCAACTCCTTGATCATTTTCTCCAGTGAAATGTGACGTCTGGTCATCTTGTAATTTTTGTCAGATAGTTTAAAACTTGCATACAGTTTGTATCACTTGAAAAAAACATTTTGAAATTTTGGAACAGTTCCTGTAATTCTGGCTGGGATTGTACACTGATTTCAAGACTGTTTGGCTTAACATATTCACAAGTCTAGCACTGTTTCTATGCAAGTTCATATAACTTGAAGATAAAAAATATGGTTTCTGCTGTCTTGAACTGAATGGTTGCAATGGGCAAGTTAGTGTAACTTCGTTAAAAGGAAAAATATTTCAATTTATGTTCAAAACGGAGTTGATCAGCTTCTGAAAAGCCTTTACAATCTCAATATTTTTTAAATGATTTCTTTCATTTAATAGACTGATTTTAAAATAGAGGTATGACACTGAATGTCAACGTCTTGCCTGCACCACCTGAAATAGCAAGCGTATGTTCAAAAACTGTTGTGTCATCATATGTAACTCAGAAATATTAAGATCAGAGCACCTGCCATATGTGTAGCTGGATAATATGTAGCTCATTAGGTTTCCTCAATCTTTTTCCCTGTTCTACCATTTTTTGTTATTGTTGTGTAATGGAAATGTGCCATATTGGAGGTTGATATGGCAACGCGAATGTTGTTGTTTTTTTCTTCTTCTTTTGTAATACAATAGTTGTTTGCCCTTTTGAAACTCTCAGTATTCATAAAGTTGATTCCTGGTGAATATTTGATGTTAGTCACCTCCATCCTTTGGTAGCATTATCCTGTTTAAGCCTTAAAGTTTTTGAGTACCTCACTGGTTTTCTCTCGTGTAGCCGAGGGATTTATTTGATTTGATTTTTTTAATCGTTTATTTGTTTATCCTCAGGTCCTCTTAGATAAATAATTTTGGCACTTTTTAACTTGTGTGATGTTTAAAGGAAGACCTTTATGCGTATATAGTTAAAACATTGTGCATGAAATGGCCATGATAAATAATATAGTAATATAACATCTCAGAATTGATTTAGCTACATTATTCTCTGATTATGACAAGCAAAAATCAGCATGATAGATAAAATGAAAGCACAGCATCATTGTCAGTTATGAATAGCAACACACAAGTTACTCGATCAAGCTGAATCTAATTGTGCTCCCATTATTCAGCAACATTTGGCCATTTCATGTAGAATCATATAAAGTAATGCTTATATATACATGTATATATTGACAATCATGCAAAGCAGGTTTCGAAGACATTGATGAGGGAACATTTTTTGACAGTGGGTAAATATATACTCAAAGCAGATCTTTAATGTTGTATGGCCTATATAAATTCAGTTGATTGTGTTTCATTTATGATGTATGTATATATTTTGTTGTAATACTCTGTTTCGTGTTCTTTTTCCATTGTATACAGTGTTTATGAAATATTAGTTGTACAATATAATCGTTTGCTTAATTCAGGGTTATTGAATTTGCACTTTGGCTGTTCATTCAGTCAAGTGCTGTTTTTGTTCTCTTTGTTTGGGTTGCATCATGTTCCCGTTTGAAACACCATTTGTTCCTACATCTAATTAGAAATAATTGTGGCTTTACATGTAAACTGGGAAATACTCCTTGACGTACACTATAGATCTTGCAAACAGCCCAAAACTGTATCGTTCCCGTTTGTAGGAATTTGCTTGTTGCACAAAACTTAACCTTGCAGATTAAACTCCTGTAAGCTCTTATAGTTTGGAGTTAGAGCAAGAATTTGGAAAGCGTGTCTTGTTTTTCCTTTTTCTCAACAGTGGTCTGTTTGCATTGAGGTCTGTCTTTCACTCCTGACATTTGCCTATTCCAAATATTAATAATTATTTTATGTTTTGTACCCCTTTGGATTTGTAAGGACCTTGGTAGTGACCCTTTACCATTGCTTTTAAAACTGGTTTTGCCTCTGACTCTTCCTTAGATGGCCTTTTTATGTATCATTTGTTTGTTTTTGATACGTCATAAAGAGAATATGTTTTATTCTTGGTGAATCAGAACCAAATTCCACTTGTACAGTAAAATTGCATGTATGTGAAGTCTTGAGGATAAAAAAAGAAATACAATTACAAAAATACAACCTATTTGCTTATATTGTCTGTGCCACTAACACCATGATATTAAAATGTATTCATGTTCATTGCTGTTTTTTTCCCCCCTGTAATTTTTATGTCGTCTGCATTTTGGTTCAGATGTCAAGGAAACTGTTTAATAGACCACTGTTGAAAAATATATCATTAAAAACGTGGATTCAGAAATGTTGTATTATGTAATTTCATGACGTGCTGAAAAATAAAATAATGGTTGCCAGATATTTTGTTAAGTAAAATAATTTCACTCTCTTTTCTTAACTTAGTAATTTCATATAATTATGAAACTGGTTATTTGTGTTCAAAATTAACCATATATATATATATATATATATATAGTGTATGTATCTGTATGCCTACTCTAATTCTCATAGATAAATATTTAAATATTGTTTTGCATTACAATTTTTAATTAAATATTTTGTTTTATTACAATAAATAACAATAAATATTGTATTAGCTTATGTCAAATGTATATAATTCTATGATTAATGTTATTTCTAGCTAAATTCTGTATCCATAAATGTATGTGAAGACAAAACCTCCATCTAAAATTTTTTTTGTTTTCAACTATTTCCCATCACTGAATTATATGAAAAGTAAACAAGCATGTATATTTGCTGGAATAATAAGAGAGTTATTGGAAGATTAATTTCTTTCTTTTTCTTTTTCTTTCTTTCTTTCTTTGCACGTATGAAATTTTGTTTATAATGTTAAGTTAGAAAAAGAAAAAAAGCACGACACCGGTTGTAAAAAAAAAAAAAAAGATCCCTCTTCCGAGGAATTCAGTCGTTGCCCGGAAGTAGAGTCGGTGGAATTCTTCCTCAGCGCAAACCAAATGCAGAGGAACCAGTGAAAGACCAACTGAACGCTGTGGCGGTTCGCGGTGTATTTTCTCGTATTTATGTACATTCAGCGGGATCCTATCCTGTCAATTTTGATATTTAAAGCCCTCTGTCATAGTAGTGTTTAATAAGCGGTCGTGAATGTTGGTAAATAACGGACAGTAACTGTTAGATGTTGACAGTTGCGGACTTCACATCTAGACATGGTGCTTTGACAGAAGTGATGCTTCATCGCCAGTATGGAGTCTTTGATATTTTATTTAGTGCTATTAGCTCCACTTTCTATCCATTGTGCGGTGAAACCAGCATCTGTTGAAGAGGACCTGAGAAATCAGGAAGACGTACAAGAGTTTGGTAAGTTACTCCGAGAAAGAAATTCAAATGGACTCAACAAGAAAATTAAATACAAAACTAAACATCTGGGGATATTTGGGGGTTGTCTGGATTTGTGAGTTCAGTCTTGCTTCCTTTTCCTGTTTTGGCTCAGTCATGACTGCTAATGTTAGTTCATTTCCTCCAATATGGAAGCAGCTGCATTTGCAATTTAATCGCAGTTTGAATGAAAAAATAACATTTACATATGATTTACATATATACCAAAAATATTTAATCGTTACATATAATAATATTTGATCTTTAGATGTTGTTTTGAGTTTTGAAAGGTGTGTGGATGAATTATGTAGGTGCGTAGTATGTAGGAGTAATGAAGTATATATGCATTACTTCATCCAGATGCGCTCAGCTCCAGACTGTCAGACTTTGATGTTGTGCCTGCATCAGATCTCCAGCTTCATTCGGTCGGGAAGAGGGACGTTGATGCCCGATCACATGTGGAGCGGCTGGTCAGCTTCACAGCACTCCAGAGGTAAAGCTGACAGATCAACACACAGCACTCTTACTGTTATGCTGTGAAAAGCACTAAATTAGGAGCCTTTAAGTCGCCAAGAGGCTGCTAAAGGCAGATTACTTGATATTCAAAGAGAGATGAAATTTTTTTTTAAATAATTTATAATAATTAAATTAACAATTTTATTATAAATTATTCAATCTATTTATTTTATGTAATCAAGTTATTTATTTTTTGTTTATTACTGTTTGTCCATCCTTGATTTCTAAAAAAAAAAAAAATTTTGTATTTGTATTTATTTGTGTGTGTGTGTGTATTAGGGTTGACACGATACCATAAGCACATGTTACGATACTATACCAGCTGAAGTATCACAATACAAAGTAGTATTGCAATACCGTGCGATATTGTATTAATTCATAATTCAAATCTACAAAATGAAGCAAATTTTCAGAAATACGTAGATATAAATGAAAACAGACCAAATTGTCCTCAGAATCGTTTTTTTAATGAGAATGAATAACTGGCTATTTGAAAAACTCAAGAACAGACTCAAGACAAAAGAGCAACAGACGAACTGAGAGATATATACATATTATATATAGTGGTCGACCGCTATATCGCCCAAGGCCGATATATCGGCCGATATTTGACATTTTTTAAATATCGGCATCGGCCGATACGTTTTTCTGTTTGGCCGATGCGTTCGAGGCAGGACTTTTATTTTGACGGCGCTGAGAACGGCAGCGTCTGAGCACACAGTGCTCACATTCTCCCTCTTGTTCGCTGTTGTCGTTAACAGTTCGGTCTAAATATGGATAGAAGTCTGTCTAATGATCAGTTAGAACAGTTAAACAAAGGAATTAAAATGTATACAAAGTCTTATAATGATTGCTTTTATATTATTAGTAATAGAAAGGCAAACATTATAATACTTTCTTGTTTTCCGTCAGCATTTATATCATTTAAACAAATTTTTGAATGTCTAATAAATATCTAATTTCAAAAACCTTGCAAACTTAGTCGGATCCAGTTGTTATACAGTTATTATTTTAAAATGCAGTGTTTAAGCTGCTAATTTTAAAAATCTTTTCAGTTCCTCTCTCTAGATAGCGCGAATAATGTGCAACACCTCATTTTCAGATGTGTAAAACGTACTGTAATGTTAAACAGGACATCTTCAAAAATGAAGGTAAATTATTTAAGGTAAATAAGTTTCACTAACCTTCGTGTTCTCTGCAAAAGATGTGGGATGCATCCGAAGGTGCTTAATGAGGTCGCTGGTGTTTCCCCCTTTAGCTTGAATACTCTGTAGGCATTCACGGCAGATTGGTTTTCCGTCATCAATAGCTTTTCCAGTCTCATCAGGTAAAAATCCAAAGTAATTCCATATTACGCTGCGTGAGTTGCTATTTTTTAAGAGATTGTCTGGGTCAAATGTTGTATGTAAATCCATTGTATTCACAGGAACAGACAATTGCAAATTAGAAACTAACTGAATCAGATGCATGTTTGAACTGAAGCATCAGAAATCGCACAATACCATATGTGACCCTGGACCACAAAACCAGTCATAAGGGTCAATTTTTTTAAATTGAGATTTATACATCATCTGAAAGCTGAGTAAATAAGCTTTCCATTGATGTATGGTTTGTTAGGATAGGACAATATTTGGTCGAGATAAAACTATTTGAAAATCTGGAATCTGAGGGAGCAAAAAAATCTAAATACTGAGAAAATCGCCTTTAAAGTTGTCCAAATGAAGTTCTTAGCAATGCATATTGCTAATCAAAAATTAAGTTTTGATATATTTACGGTAGGAAATTTACAAAATATCTTCATGGAACATGATCTTTACTTAATATCCTAAGGATTTTTGGCATAAAAGAAAAATCGATCATTTTGACCAATACAGTGTTTTTTTGGCTATTGCTACAAATATACCCCAGCGACTTAAGACTGGTTTTGTGGTCCAGGGTCACATATAAGGCGCAAATTCTACACAGCATTTTGTGTCCTTAAAGAGGTGCGGTGTGCAGAAAGGCGACAAGACAAAAAAAGACGCTATTGTATTGTTTATTTGCAGACACAAGTGTTCGAACATTTTAGTGACTGCCCCACATACAACATTACTTACGGTAGAAATACAGTGGCACCGCCAGTATTTTGGAGCTTTAGTATCGCCGATACTACCGTAGATACTACTATGGTAAACCGTGCAACCCTAGTATGTGTGTATATATATATATATATATATATACAGTATATGTGTGTATGTATGTAAGGGATAATCACCGGTTTGCCGTGCATTTAAAATCCTTTAACGTGGAGGCAAAGAACCACCCGACGCGAAGCACACACACATGCATATAGGGCTTCACAATTAATCTAATTTCTAATCGCAATTACAATTACAGATGCCACAATTACGTAATCGTTCAAAGTCCAATTATGTTATTCTGATGTTTTTTTTCTTCTTTCTACAGGTTATCTTAAGCGTTTTTCCATTGTTTTAGTTTTAGTATAACATTATAATACCATGCATATTTTTTATTTATTTAAAGAAGAAACCAATCCGATGTATAGTTGACATCTGAGGCTTAATACTAGAGAAAGCAATAAAAGTTTTTCAGTTAGAGTGTTTTCAGCTTGTTTTCATATAAAAATATGGCATGCAGTTTCTTCAAACTGGTATAAACATCATTCAATGTAAATTGTAATAATTGTAAATAATAATCGCAATTACGATTTTTGTCATAATGGTGCAGCTCTACACACATATACATTTTTTTTTATTTGTCAGTGTTATTGGTTGTTATTCATCTCTGCCCATCCCTTATTATTTTTTAAGTATTTATTTGCATTTTTTTGTATATTATGTATTAATTTGTATTTTATATATTTAATATATAAAACTGTAATATATAATTTATTACTGTTCTGTATTAATTATTATTTTTTGTTTGCATTACTCTTATCTGACCACCCCTGGTTTCTAAAAATAATGGTAATTATATTTTGCTTTTATTTTCTTGGCATATTTTATTTTATTTTTATTTTAGTTTATTATGTATTTTTATTTATTTATGGTTTATTTTTATTCTATTCTCTGATGTATTTTATTCTATCTATCTTTATAACTTTTTTTTTTTTTTAGAGAGAGAGAGTTGGAGTGTTTGTGTTGTTATTCTCTGACCCCCTGACCTCAAGAGATCATGATTAGAGGCTGGTTCTTCCTTCAGAGTTTCACTGCACTAAAAACACATTTATTACATCTTTTTTCAAAGGCACTTCAAGCTGTACTTGACAACCAACACAGAACTTTTCTCTGACAACTTCAAGGCTGTGTTCTTAGACATGAATGGAAAAGAGAACCAATATGACATTCAGTTACAGAATTACTATAAAGGACACGTAGTGGGTAAGACATGGGATGAGAATATCAGCCTTGGCTGAGAACTGAATTTTCTTGTTTTTCCATCCGTGATTCATTATCATACATTGACATATCGTTGTTTGCTATCTCAACAGGAGAGGAGCACTCGCGTGTGCAGGCACACATAGATGGGGAAGAGTTTTCAGCCCACATTCTTACTGAAGAGGCTGAATATAATGTAGAGGTAATTTGTTCACACATGCTTAATACTTGAAAGCATTTGATATTAATTTCACAGTGTGCATTTTTACTAAATGTTTCAGTATATCTTGTCTTGTCTTCATTTAGCCCTTGTGGCGGTTTACAGAGTCACCCTCTGATGGCCGTTTGCTGGTGTACCGTTCAGAGGACATTAAAAACATCAGTCGACTGTACTCACCTAAAGTGTGTGGATATGTGAACGCTGATGCCCAGGGGCTCCTGCCGGCGAGAGCAGTGGGACAGACAGAACAGGAGCAGGGTGTGTATTTACATATTTATGACAAGATACCACAGAGGACATTGGGTCACTTAGTATTGGAGACTGGAGATCAGACAAGTTATCAAAATTAACCCCATTTCCTTTTTTATGAGGTTCTCAAACTTTTGTATTTTTAATAGTAAATTTGAGGAACAGGAATTTATTGGAATTCCCTGCAGATCTATTTTGACCTCACTCAGACCGTCACCACGGTCTTATCCTGAATGACGCCATTCTTCTGCTTATCCTCGAGACCTAATTACAACAATGTCAGGTGACTGACCTTAGGGGTTGGCTGTTATATAACATCCGGATGGACCAACCACTTCCTATGCTAATAATACAAGTTATTAGAAAATTATTTTTTATATTTGCAGATACAATTTTATGTAACCTATAAGACATACCTGGTGGGCAATGACTGACTATATGAGTGTTTTTGCTCATCTCTGATTCATGTCTGATCTGAGTTGTCTCTATTGGCACATACTCCATCTCTGACATTCCCCCTGCTTCTTTCCTTTCTGTATCATTAAATTCCCCTGGCTCTTTTTCATGTTCATTTGTGCTGTTACTAGTCCTCTTTATAAAAAAGAATGTATTTTCCTCTTCCTCTGCTTTCCTTTTCATATTCTATATAGTTCAGTCAATCACACTTGTATTATCATTATTCAATTAAACAGCTAAGTTACAGTTTTGCACAAAACAGCGACAGACCCATAATGTAAGATTGTGTAATGTGTTTTTTTAAACTTTGTATTTTTTTAAATGTATTTTTTTAAACTTTTGCAAGCTACAATTTGCAGTAGCCTAACTTTACAAACTTTTTCAGGTTTGCAGTTTGAACTAAAGCTTAAACTTGGAAGGCTTTAAAGGCCATACAGTATATCAGAAAGACAGATTCACAGATGGATGGATGGACATAACGAGATAGATAGATAGATAGGGACCAAATCAGACCAAATTCATTCTTTTTGTCTGTTGAGATTAGAATTTTTGACAGTTGGACTTTTAACAGCTTTGGCTCATGAATGATATGGTATGGTTCTTTTCTCATGAAACATTGCAGTACCTCATTTTTAACAAATGTTCACGAAAAGGTAGTGACATCTAGGTAAATAACACAGATTTTACTGACCTGAATCTCTTGTGTTTCTCACTCGGCTTGCGCTGAACTTAAGTTATGTCCATAACTATGGATCTATGAGACCGAACGATGACCGTCACCACGTTCTTATCCTGAATGACGCCATTCCTCCGCCTATCCTCGAGACCTAATAACAACAATGTCAGGTGACTGACCTTAGGGGTTGGCTGTTATATAACATCCGGATGGACCAACCACTTCCTTTTGCCTTTCTCGCCTCATCTGAGACCGGATTGGTTGATTGCATTTAAACTCAAACACAGGAGAGATTGTGGTTACAATCTGTCACGTTTTCGTGCAGGTGCTTTAAGTCCCTTAGGATTGTGGTGGATTTCTCCTAATTTCTGTATTTTTTACGCGTCATTGGAACACGCATTGGTGAGTGTCTCTTTACTTTATTATACTGTTTACAGGTGTTTGTGTTTGGGTCTGCAGTTCGCAGCGGATTTGATATTTCCATCCTGGTTACTGCGTGTAAGCACGTAGAATGGTGGATATTTGAAAATTATTTTCTTATGTGATTTTTGATCTTTGAGAAGTTCTGTTCGCAGGCTTTATTTGAAGGACAGTTAATGACTGGTGATTCGTCACAAACTATATGTGAATGGTGTAATTTGTTTATTTTCCAACAAAAACCAAGAAGTTTGTTGAACAATTGAATTTCAGCCTCAGGAAATAGTAATATTGTGTGATTCAAAGAGTGCTGTTCGCAGACTTTGAAAGATAATTAATGGACAGGGATTCGTCACAGTTTATATATTTATAGGATTGCAAACTTTGCATACTTAAATAATTAAATTTATTTTGAAGTTTGGTTTCAAGAACTGAGTTTCATTACAGTTAAACTTGGTTCGTTGACATGAGTCACTCAAAATGTTGATTTTGTCAGGCTGATATACACCCACGAGATGGATATTGAGAATGCCCATCCTGTTTGAGTATGCAGCATTTACTTGACGATATTGAGAACCCCTGTGCAGCACCAGTAGTGCAACGTTTGGATACACCTTCATGTAGCCCTTATCCTTACATGTGTCTAATTTGGGATGTAATTTGAAGCTGTTTACCCACCGTTGTAGTGGACGGGCTCTGAGAAGTCTCGAACTGGTCCTCTTCCGGTAGAGTGGCAACTCCATCCCAAAGTGGTAAGACTTATATGGGGTCAGTTCGGTATGGTGAAGATCAATCTGTTTGCGATGGCGGAGACAACTCATTGCGATCTATGGTATTCCCTAAACAACCAGGGAGAACCCTTAGGGGATAGATGCACTCAAGAATGGCTGTAAGAGTTGTTGTACGTGGTTCCTTCTCTACCTTTGATTCCCCTGGTGCTCAGGATGGTAGCATTGGGCCGTCACAAAGTTTTACTTGTGGCCCCAAGATGGCCGAAGAAACACTGGTTCCCGATTCTTGTATGTTTGGTTCAAGGTCATCCAAGGCAGTTACCGAGGAGAATCGATCACCTGTCTCAGGCGGAGGGACACATTTGGCACCCGAGGTCAGATACTCTACAACTGTGGGTATGGCCTTTGCTCAGTCCCTCCCTAAGGACTTAGATGAAGCTGTACTGAGGACAATAAATAATTCTTAGGCACCCTCTACTTGGAGTAACTATTCTAGCAAGTGGCGAATATTCTAAGCATGGTGTCAAGACCATCAGCTAGAAGCTGTCAGAATTGTGACACCAGTTTTTTTCTCTGGTTTCTTCAGTCATTGTTGGATTCAGGGAAATCAGTTAATACGATAAAGGTCTATATGGCAGCCATCTCACACTTTCATTCTTTAGTGGATGGTGTAAGTATTGGTAAACACTCTTTGGTGTCTCAATTCCTTTAGGGCGCACACCATTTATGCCCAGGGAGGGTTATGAGCTCACCTGCTTGGGATCTTACTGTTATCTTACGTTCACAAGTCAAAGCACCTTTTGAACGTTTGGATCAAGCCGATCCAAAGTTCCTGACATGGAAGACAGTCTTCCTCCTGGCAATATGTTCAGCTAAGAGGGTTAGTGAATTGGACTCTTTATCAGTCAATGAAGACTGTTTGAGATGTAAGGCGGAAAATCCAGGGGTTTATCTCTGGCCAAATCTGTTATTCCTACCCAAGGTCCTTAGGCCTGGTACAATAAATCAGGTAATTGAGCTTGATGCTTTTTACACAGACCTTCGATTGTCTCACTGGATAGTGGATACAATTTCACAAGCATATTCCAGTCAAAATCTACCTGTTCCTGGTGATCTAGTCGCCCACTCTACCAGGAGAGGTAGGTTTATAGGATTAATGTTACAAATCCAAATTCTTTGGGGTCTGCTGTTTTATCTGCTGTTAAGTTACCAGAGAAGGGAAATGATACTGGTCCCTCGTGACTCTGTTGGTATTAGTCATCCAGGATAAGACCATGGTGACGGTCTGAGTGAGGTCGAAATAGATCATAAGTTATGTCCATAAGTATGGATCTATGAGACCAAATGATGACCGTCACCATCTCTTGTCACTCGGAACGAGCTGAGGCGTTCCAGGCAGGAGGAAGTGGTTGGTCCATTCAGATGTTATATAACAGCCAACCCTTAAGGTCAATCACCTGACATTGTTGTTATTAGGTCTCGAGGATAGGCGGAGGAATGGCGTCATTCAGGATAAGAACGTGGTGACGGTCATCGTTCGGTCTCATAGATCCATAGTTATGGACATAACTTAAGTTCAGCGCAAGCCGAGTGAGAAACACAAGAGATTCAGGTCAGTAAAATCTGTGTTATTTACCTAGATGTCACTACCTTTTCGTGAACATTTGTTAAAAATGAGGTACTGCAATGTTTCATGAGAAAAGAACCATACCATATCATTCATGAGCCAAAGCTGTTAAAAGTCCAACTGTCAAAAATTCTAATCTCAACAGACAAAAAGAATGAATTTGGTCTGATTTGGTCCCTATCTATCTATCTATCTCGTTATGTCCATCCATCCATCTGTGAATCTGTCTTTCTGATATACTGTATGGCCTTTAAAGCCTTCCAAGTTTAAGCTTTAGTTCAAACTGCAAACCTGAAAAAGTTTGTAAAGTTAGGCTACTGCAAATTGTAGCTTGCAAAAGTTTAAAAAAATACATTTAAAAAAATACAAAGTTTAAAAAAACACATTACACAATCTTACATTATGGGTCTGTCGCTGTTTTGTGCAAAACTGTAACTTAGCTGTTTAATTGAATAATGATAATACAAGTGTGATTGACTGAACTATATAGAATATGAAAAGGAAAGCAGAGGAAGAGGAAAATACATTCTTTTTTATAAAGAGGACTAGTAACAGCACAAATGAACATGAAAAAGAGCCAGGGGAATTTAATGATACAGAAAGGAAAGAAGCAGGGGGAATGTCAGAGATGGAGTATGTGCCAATAGAGACAACTCAGATCAGACATGAATCAGAGATGAGCAAAAACACTCATATAGTCAGTCATTGCCCACCAGGTATGTCTTATAGGTTACATAAAATTGTATCTGCAAATATAAAAAATAATTTTCTAATAACTTGTATTATTAGCATCTAAATATACAAATAGAATAAGGATTGTATTGAATTATGTTGTTGTTTTATGGAAGTCCAGAGGTGAAGCTCCTGTACAGCCAAAATTGAAGGTGTTTCCAAGGACTCTTCAGGGATACAGAAGAAGGAGCTTTAAAAGTGAATGGTACACAAGTCACCCCTGGTTAGAATACTCCATAAGTGCAGACTCAGCCTTCTTTTATGCTTGTAGACATTTTAGCCTCCCCAGCCACACAGAATCAAACTTCACTTCAAATTTAGGATTTAAAAACTGGAAAAAGGTAACATTCAAAGATGGAGGATTCGCTGC